CCTCAGTGGGGGGCATTTAAGATGTTGCACACAATAGAAGCTACCGGGCATACAAGTGATTAGTATTAATATATTTTCCTCACTTACCTTCACAGCATGTGCCGGCCTTTCTTGATGTTGTATTGTTTCGTTAATACGGAAAATGTCGTTAAAAATGTCTGTAAAAGGAATGAAGGATGTTGTGTTCTTAAAATTTTTTGACATTTCGATGTTTTAAATTGTAGCAGTGATTGTTAAGAAATTGGTTATAAAGAATTCGAAATGATCTTTTATTAATAGCGGTCCTTTGTAACTAAGGCCTTTAGTTATCATTTTGATAAATGTTATTGTTTAGGCGTATGCTCGTATATAATGAAGTTTTCTCATACAGTTTACAGTTTAAGAAAAATTGGCGAAACATCTCTAATTACGGCCCTGCAATCGATAATTTAATGATCCTTTCCAGCTTATATTTATCATCTGTTTTAAGTCCCATTTCTCTAGCCCACTTCTACGTATGTTACAAGTTTTATACAATGATAATCAAGACTCCATCCCAGTTTTCCTAACATGATGACTTTTTTTATCTTGCCACAAAGTAAATAAGTAAAACTATTTCTTTTTTAGCCCAGAAGTGGATATTAGTCTCGAAGCGGGATTTTTGTATGGTTCACTATAAATGGCGTATCACGTTTCAAATTGTCGCCATTAAATGTTACTGCTCTCTGTTATGAAAAATCTGCATGTTTCTCGTATTGTGAAAAAACGACGGTGCCTAGAGCCATTAAACTTTATGTTTCTCCACCCGAAAGTGTGCACCTGGAAGACTGAATTTGGAATTTGTTTTATTAATTTATTTTATATTTTGTAAGACTTTCTGATTAAAATCTCAATGATCTGAAATTTTTCGTTAAATGAATTTTTGATTAAACCTCAACGATTTGAAAGACAGCAGTAGCAACACTTTTCGAAATAAGTTGGATGTCAAATTAAACTTTTATCTGAAGCGCGTATGATTCTTGATCTCGGAATATGTAAGACTTTGATCTTTTAATTTTAGGTAATAAACTCGGATGTATGAAAGCAATGTGTTGACGCTTTGATTCATTAGCTTTTAATATTGTCCTAGATTAATTTCATGGAGATACATATTTTATTATACTGTGGACTTCATTCTTAAATTAGATAGGAAACGGTGATACAAGCATATTAAATATATGTGACTCAACATTTCTGTTTCGCTGTTACTTTTCCTTTTCTAGCTGTTCCTCAAAAATTTAATGTGTAACGTGTATACGAGGCAGTTTCCTTTAGAAAGTCCTCCACGACGGCATTCCTTCCCTTAGGCAGATAGCCATAGTGTGCTTCGCCGCAGTCAACAAAACCAAACCAAACCACAAAATTTTAAATATAAATCTTTCAAGCGAATTTCGCTAAGATAAACATGTGTCTATAAATCTATCGAGTTGTTGACGTGTTATACCAAAAGGAAAATCCTCTTGAAATGGAATAAGCTTTCTCTTATTTTCATGCGAGTTAGCACTAATGGCAGATGGGAAAATGAGTCAGCTATGAAAGCCAGTTCAGTTTTCTATGCTTCAACGCAATGAAGGTTAGAGAAGGGGGCTTTGTAATCCCCACTGCACGCTAAGCAACAAATCACACACCGATGTCAACCGATTCGGCCCTTCGATTGCCAATAAATAACTCTGCTGTGACGTTAAATTATTACGATTGCCACGAACTTTCGCTTAAATCTGCACAGGAAACGCGCAAAGTATTCTAGTAACTGACACCTTCTGTTTCCGAAATTCATAAGAAGTAATATTAAATTTTAATTACTACATTAGACAAGTATTATCAGCTTAAATGTTAGAGGTTTACAGGTGCTAGGCCTTTTTTGGCTTTCCGTCCAATCTCTACGCTTTTTAAATTCCGATGTTTCCCTAAATTATGATAATTTTGCTGTCCCTGGATTCTGTCTCCTATGTAGCATTGGTTTTGACGGTGTATTAACAAGAAATGTCGAATCTTACTTGACGAATTATGAATATTTATAACTTGCATTGGTAAAATTAAAACCTCTCCGATGCAGGTCGTATTTAATAAATTGATTAAAATTTTTAACGGAAATTACAATAGCATCGATTACTTTCGGTGAGAACTTAAAGGTAATTTAACAATGTAATTCAAAAGGTAAGAATTAGTACTACACTACACAATTTAATTTAATCTAACAAGCTGACTCAGCAACCTACACCGAGGGACTAACTAAACGGCCAAAATGAATAGCCGCTACTAAGATTAACAGCTGGAGGACAAAATAGCAAACGTGCGCTACGCTAGGGAAAGCACGCTTTGTCTAGCTTTATCGTTTCACCCGTTTAAATACTCTCTTCATCTACTTAATTTGCATCCTGGCGAGGAACTAAGGGTGGAAATAGAGAATTCAGAAAAGATAACAAAATTGAAATAACTGGTTAGTAAACTAAGGGGATACCTACAGTTCGTATTTAATAAATTGGTTAAATATTTTAAAGTGCTATCGCCGTACGTTTGCTATTGTGTTAGCTGTTAGTGAGAAATTAATATGTTACTTTTTATTCAAAACTCTGGTAAGCTGAGATATTATTTTGAGACAATTTCTTTATCTTGATTGGACTTTCTTTACAACGCGCGCTATGCCTGTTACATGTTTTTAGTCTTTCCAAAGATGTAGGTATGAATTAAAAGTAAATATTTACGTTAATATTTTATTCATATTGAGTAAATTATTGAAAGTTCCACTAGGATATATATATATGCTAAAAAAAATGACAAATCAGTTTAAATGTTAACTATCACTTAATTGAAAAAATGCGGAGTGGGAAGCAATAATTTCAAGGATGGATCTCAAAATTAGTTTCTGCTAAACAATATAGTTTTATAAGGTGTTAATAAGGCGTTGTCAGTATTATTAAGTTAAAATTCAGGAACTTTTGAGATAAAATGAATAAAAGATTATGTATTGACCATATCAGATCATTTCAGCATTTTTAAAATTTTAAAATATTCGTGCTTAATATCTGTTGTAAACACATTAGCATGCATCAAAGTATTATCGGCCTAAGCATTGAGAAACGATATTCATAGATGCGCTAAGAGGAAACTAACACAAAAACTAAATCTTACTTTACATAGTCTAAATCTCACAAATTCTTGGCATGTATGGTACAAGGTATTTAGAAATTTTAATTAAATGTATTTTACATTTAAATTTATTTAATGCGATTATATTATTGATCGCAATCAATCGGTTCGATTTTATCCTTCATATTCAATTCATGCTTATGACTGAGCGCTAATCTTTTAATGCTGATTTCCTACTTGGAAACAAAGCATTTTGAAATAAATCTAGCATCTAATTTATGCCTTACGTCTTAATCTACCAACTAAGAAAACTAACTAAGAACTTGATGCAGAGTAGTGTAATGAGTATTTTTTCCTTCATTCTTTTACATTGCTCAATGGTATATCAGACAGTTTATGAAGAAATTTGCATAACTACTATTAAACTAAATTCTTAATTTGGTTCATAACACGCACGCGTAAGTTATTTTGAGCTCAAAGCATTCAAAATTAAATGCAATGAAAACATTTATTAGCATAATTATTTTTTAAAACTAATTTTTAAGAAATACTTTGTAGAGTCATTAGCTTATTTTGAAAGGGAAGACATGAAGAATGTGCAGTACCTTCGCGGGGGCTCGAACTGGACTTCTCGAATACGCGCCAAGTGTGCTACCTTTACATCACGAAGGCATGCTGGAAGGAGGGAGAAAATACCTTATACACACTCCCTTTTAAAGAGCGACTGGGGATTTAAGCTCCTTTCAGACGGTGTTTAAAGAGGCTTAGTCATAAGGCATAAAATGCGGGAGTGCCGTTCACACCTGCGAGACAGGGTATAAGCCGTAGCCAATTAGAGAAGCTAAATTTGCCGAACTACAGCTTTCTCGTTATGTTTTCCCGTTCAGGTTTCGAGTGTTCGCTCTGGTTGGTCGACTCTTATACCAAGTCGGCATAAAGTTGGAAACTTCGAACTTTATGCTAAAGCACCTAAACCAGTTTTTGTGACGTAGCAAGTTTTGGTTACATAGCAACAAAGCTCGGCTTATACCAGTTATAACATTTATACCTCCGTCTAAACGAAGCCTAAGGGGACCTAATCGCCAAATCCTGGTGGTGACGAATTATTGTTCACCACCTTTTAGGTTGGGCGCCACTGTAGAATTATTAGGTTTTTTTTTACTGCAGGAGAAGTGAAAAATATTCAGTGCCCTTGCCGGGACTCGAATCTGGACCTCTCTGGAATACGTGCCGAGTGTGCTGCGGTTACACCACGAAGGCACGCTGGAAGAAGGGAGAAATATCTATAACTTTTAAAACAAACAAATTTGCTTTTAAAAAAGCATTAAATTTAAGTAAATATAATATAATTTCTAACTTAATTATTATAACTAATGAAAAAAAATCAGAGTCAGGGGCATTTTACCGCAAGTGGGTCCGTGTGTCTTATTTATGTTAAAGTGTAATTAATATTTTACTAAATAGAATTTTTGCTCTTTGGGAGTCACATTAAAATTAAACTTGTGTAACTACAAAACTTCTCTTTTCTCAGTATTGAAATTAATCTTTTGCAAAACTATGTATCTAATTTAGAAAGTTTTAATCTAGAATAATACATACATAATAGAATCAATATTTAAAGAAACAAAGCCTGCTGCCACTTTTTACATATTGTAAAATAAAAATAATTATTATTCTTTTTAAAATCTTTTACTGGTTTCTTCGTTACTTATGCTTTAAGTTATTCTTTTTCTCCTAAAACGATACTTTATAATTAATTTCGTAACAAATCATGTTCAGTATTTTATAATTTACTTTGCATTAAGAACAATTCAGATTATGTGTGTATAAGTTAAAAAGTATCTTCTTTGCTGAGTGGTATTAATATTATTATTATAATTTTATTTTCGTAGATTGTCCTCAATTCTATGCACAGGTATCAGCCTAGAATTCACCTGGTCAGGAAATCCGGAAGTACGACTCTGAGCTCACCTGCAGAATTGGAAAACGAAGAGTTTAGAACGTACATTTTTCCTGAAACCGTTTTTACTGCAGTCACAGCTTACCAAAATCAGTTGGTATGTTTTCTTTTCTTGCTAAGACTTACTGAATAATTTTCTGAGAGACTTATTAGATTTGAGTTTGATACTTGCTCAACACTTATAGTAAAACTTCTATGTGAAGCTTCTTTTTGCATTATTATGTATTACAGTTTGTTTGAATAATAAAGTTCTACGCTTTGTATTGCTCAAGCAAAGAAGCGAACTGAAGTTAAAACTAATCTTTCTTAAGTTCAAAATTGACATAATGTGTAAGCACATTGTATTGTTTTTATAACAGTAAGATAGTTTGTCTTTTACCGTACATGAAGGAGATCAACGTGCATAAGTTTTAATGCAAATTATAGCCAACGCAAATATTTTGTGTTTACATTGCAGTAATTACAAGGTAAACTGCATTGATACTAAATTTAGATTAAATGAAAAAGAATCGTACGTCAACATATGTGATGTTTGAGAATTGTTGCTGGATATTTCCTACTTAATGATACTATTATGAGAAAATCTATCAATCATATTTGAATTTCTTTTCAAATTTGGATTAAGTCAATCTCTTAATCCTATTTTTCAATTTCAGTGTCAACCCTATTTTCAGTGAGATAAAAACATTAAAATTATTTGAATTCGCTTTGTTAAAATTATACATTTTAACTCTTAAGTTAATTAAGGTAAAATTTACAGAACATAAAGTAATTTATTGCCCTATTTGTAAAAGTTAGACTACAAGTCTTTCATTTATTTCAGATAACAAAACTGAAAATCGACAGCAATCCCTTTGCCAAAGGTTTCAGAGACTCTTCACGGCTAACAGAATTAGAAAGGTGAGTGTAATGTAAAAAATACATGTTTACCATTATATGCTAGTATTAATGAAAATTCATATCGATAATTTTAAATTTAAATATTTTTCAAAATCATTAATTATGAGAGAAGAAAAAGACTGAAAAGGAAAGAAAATTTAGTATTGGTAGTTGCTGATAAATGGGCTATTAATAAATTACAGTATTCAGTCTTCTTTTACTGTTAATTCCAATAAGATAAACTTTAATAAGATAAACTTTACATATTCTAACCGAGAAAACGTGAACCTTCTTCTTCAATATCAAAAACAATGCTATCTGAGTTGGAAAATCCGAAATTTTTTGTTCTTACAAACAGATCACTTTTCCTTGAAAATCAAAGAGTTTTCTTTTTATTGGAACCAACATCTGAAAAGGTGGCGTATTTAATTATGGCAAGGCACACTAGGGCTATCTGCCTAAGGGAAGGATGCCTTCGTGGAGGACTTTCTAAGGGAAACTGGCTCGTATACACGTTACACATGGGGCAAACCACAAAAACGCCCATGCAACCAGCTCGTTCGCGGGATTCGAACCTCGTACCGAACTACCAGTGTTCAGCGACTTTACCGCTCGGCCGCTGGTGGGCCCAACATCTGAAAAGGGCACTGTGAACAGTATGGTGGTTAAGGAAGTCAGCTTCCATGTCTATGAGTTCCAGTTTGAATCTTGGAGAAGGCCTGGACGTATATTCCTTTTTCTTGCGGGTGTAGTACTGTCTGTTGCCTCTGTGGTGCACTTGGGGGAATATTCTCTGAGACGGCTGAATTACTGATAGACTGGGCCATTCCAGAAGAAAGCTAAACTTTGAAAGTCCCGGCTATTGAGGAAGGGAAGAGAGAAACATAATTAAAAGATTGACTTCCATTATGCAAATTCAATCCTTCTAATTTATTTTCTAATAAATATTAAAGAAAGAAGGATTTTATTATTGAGTGAATATTCATTATCTTGCCACAAATGTATGAGCAATTATAAATGTACATGTAACTTCATCTAATTACAATGCCGTAATTAATACTAGATTTTCAACAGTTATGCTACTTTCGTAATTCTAAGCTCTATACTTTCATAAATTTTGAATTTTGGAATTAGTCACCGTTCTTTTAAAAAATAGGTCAAATAAAAATCTATTTAGCTAGATCTATATAACATAATTTACTCACTGTATTTGTTATCCTTTTCTCACTTGAAGTACACATTCTTAGATTTTGTTGAAAATCTAATTTATTTCTTTACGTAGGGTAGCTTCAGTAAATTTTCAATTGCAAAGTTTTTTTGTTTGTTTGTTTTATTGTTGCTAAAAAAAGTATTATTTAAGCAATTAAAATGAATTCTCCAAAATTTCTCTGCCTGTTTCGTTTAAGAAAAATTTTCAATCTTATCTTTTTCATGTCCACATTTAGACTTCTCACTTTATAAATAATATTTTTTTTGTGCAATTTTTTTTTCATATATTCATTTGATTTCTTATTTTTATTTATTTATTTACATATTGAACTAGTCAAACAGTTTTTATCACTTGATTATGATTTATTTTCATTCTCTCTGGTTCAGTGAAGTATAAAAAAAGTTTGAAACTTTTTTGAAAATAAATGAAGAAATGAAAAGAAGTAGTAAATAAATAAAATACATTAACTCGGGGAATATTCTTCATCAAGTTATTGAGAATCGTCTAAATTTATCTTGCGTCTGAAATACGTGTAACTTAAGCGCAAAATGATTCTTAAGCTTGACACTTTATTTACATTGACGACGAAATAAGTTATTTCACTTCGTAAGATATAAAATATACCTTAACTAGCTAGCATTTAAAATATAATGAAGCTATAAAAAAAATAAGAATTTTGCGGAACATTTAAGTTTACGTTGAAAATTAAAAACCGAGTTGAAAGCAAATACTAAAAATATTCATTAAGAGGTCTGTTACTTAAAGCTTTTTTCCCCCTTTACGGTCCAAGCCAAATTTCAACAAGCTCGCTTGTTGGCAATGAGCCTCGAAAAAAGACCTCCCACATCGAAACCGCGACCCGAAAGGCGGAAACTGCAGTTTCCAAGTCCCAGTCGCCGTGTCCGTCTTGTCGAGGTTGTTAATTGACTTCTTTCATTCTGCCATCTTCTGTGGATCGGCTTACCAGCAGCGAGATGGTTAATCCTGATGACGGCCGGCAATGGCCCGTGTCCTGACACCCGACACTTTGCCACCCACGGTTCTCTGGAATGAGTTGCTAAAACGATCCCTATTTTTTCTCTTTGTTTTTGCATGCGGGGAACTTAGCCTTCTGTCCACACTTGGCATCTATCTAGAAGGGATTTTGTGATATTCTTTTCCTTTTCTTGGCAGGTGCAGAACCCTATCCTTCGAGGTCTTGAAAGCAGGAACTACGGAAAATCTAACAGCAGCAAGAAAATTTTTATTTAATGGATTATGAGTATATTCATAATTCTTATGAAATATTCTTGCTGTTGGAAGATTTATAACTAAAAAATTCTAAACCTTTATTAGCATTAAGCAGTCTATATTTGTTTCTGATGTTAATTAAAAATTATCTTAATCTTCCTATGCTTGATATCAACCCAATGAGTCAAAATCATCTTTTTTATGTATTATTTAAGTTACGATCTAATTACAAGAATTATTATCTGTCTTGTATTGGATGTCTTATTGTTTTAGAGATAATAACTTATCAAAAAAAAAAAAAATTAAAACTTTTGTTGGTAGACCATCATTCTAAGAATATCAAATAAGTAATAAAATCTTCTGTACCGAGTAGAACTTTGTAATTGTACCTAATTCACTCAACTTTTGGAAAAGTGAATTTTTTTTTTTTTTTTTTTTTTTGTTTTTGCATCAACTGTACATGCAGCAATTTTTTGATCCAGAGATTTAAAGGCCCAACCGCTACTAACTTTGCCTCAAATAGCATTAGTTTCGACTTAGTTTCTCTTATTCTGTAGAGGCCATTAGGCATTTTATTTCGGAGTGGAAGATGTGAGAAATGTGTAAGGTCTTTGCCGGGACCGACCTTCCGATTACTAGCCGGACGTGCTTTCCAATTACACCACGAAGGCAGTGTGGGAAAAGGTCAGGAGGAACCAAAATCATTGCATTCTCCAATACTAAAAGGGTGACTAGGAAGAAGGAGACTCAGTTGCCAAATCCTAGTGATGACGAATGATCGTCTACCACCTTTTAGTTCGTCTACCACTTTTTAGTTTGGGTGCCACTGCAGAGTCAGTTAGAAATTTTTAAAGCCGTGAAACATGAAGATCAGTAATGTCAGAATCAGAAAAACCAGATTCGACATCCGGACCTTCCGACTGCTAGACAAACGGGCTTCCAATTTACACTACGAAGGCACGTGGCAAAGAGGGAGAAAAATCTTACAATTCAATATCAGATTTTTTATATTCAGTCTTTGACGCTAAGAATTTCTGTAGTTGCGTGGCTACAAATTTTCATTTGATCTTCTAAAATTGTATTAAAAATTCCATAATTTTCGTAGACGAGGTTAGATAAAAGCTATCAAAGGATACCGAAAAAGAAAGCGTTGATTTTTTAAGATTTTTTTATTTTAACAAAGCACAAAATGCTCCTCAAACACCTTGTTAATTTCCTTGCTTGTTATTCGAAAATTCAGCTTTCGCAAAAAAAAAAAAAAAAATAGAAACACATATCTTTTTTTCGTATCTACATCATGTCTGTTAAGATAAGATGTCTATTATTCCCGGCGTAATCTGATTATTTCTCTATCCATTTAAGATCTATACTGTGTAAGGAAAGATATCTGGTAGAAAAGCAATCTTTATAACGAATGCCCTTTCTTAGATAATTCTTCACCATGCTCCTGTAATTCAGAGTTATGACTGCATATTAAAATATTCATAACCGTTTGTCTTCACTTATGTACCATCCCCACGATTATCTTCAGAATGAGCAAATGAGTCACCACCATCAAGTCTTTCCAACTCATCTTCATCCAGCCTCCCAAACTCACCATAATGCGCACCACAGAAGCCCCATTTGAAAACAGAGGCGACAGCATGATACATTATCTCAAATAATGAATAGATAGCACTTATTTGATTAGGACAGCCCGAGGATACTAATGGCAGTTGCTGAAAAGATATGGACAAGTCCTCCGCGCTCAAATTACGGGTCTGGGAAGTGTAAATTTACGAATTTCCCTGGGGAGGAGAAGATCTGGCGTAAAACTGGAGATTTTCGTCGCTAGGAAGTGGCTGATTTAGCGCTAAAAGGGTGTCTAATATTAGACTAGGTAACGATTCGCATGAGTTTGTTTCTGGTGCTTAGAAATGGAGCTAGGGGTGTCACATAACGTTTTAATTTTCGTAATCGTGCTGGGCCGGAGTAATTTGAAGGATGCTCTGCCCAAATATTGTTACGAGAGTAGTGATGAATGGGAACTACACTGCAGTTCTGACTAAATTAATGCGTTTACGTTCTTAAAAGTATCTGTGGGATTTGCCTATCTGCATTAAAAATTCCGATTCGTTTCTTTCCGCCTCTCCGTATGAGAAGCACTGGATGTTGAATCTTTCAAAACGTGGAGATTTTAATTATTTTCATCTTACGCTTTATATATATTCGGTATAATTTTAAGTCTTTGAATTTTAAATTGTTCATAACATGAACATTTGCTGGGATTGTATTCTTTGACAATGTTATTTATTGCATGTATGTTAGAGAGTATAAAATACATATTCTGTTTTGTAAGATATTATTGTTTCTTACTCTTACTTGTGTCCTATTCGTTATGATCGTTTGCGGTACCTGACATGGTACGTTGCTTGCCATAGAATTCTGCAGGAGCCATGGATATTTATAGTTATTTGTATCCTCTTCTTACGAGTGTAATACCGATCTGCCACCTGCAACTAGGCAGAAGACAGCTAAAGGAAATGCCCTAGTTTTTTAGTTAAATACATTGTAGAGCCATTATGTTAGTTTGAAGCGGGAGACTTGAAAAATGTGCAGTGCCTTCGCCGGGACTCAAACCTGCATTTCTCGAATACGCCCCGAGTGTGCTACTGTTACACTTGGAAGGCATGCTGGAAGGAGAGAGAAAATACCTTATATACTCCACCTTTTAAAGGGTGACTGGGAAGGAGGGGATCCAATCGCCAAATCCTGGTGGTGACGCATTATCGTCCACCATCTTTTAATTCGGGCGCCACTGTAGAGTCATTAGGTTATTTTGAAGCAGGACAGATGAAAAATGTGTAACGTCCTCGTTGAGGCTCGAACGTGGGTCTCTCGAATACTCTCCGAGTGTGCTACCGTTATACCACAAAGGCATCCTGGAAGGAATGAGAAAATACCTTACAACATTTTTGCATTTAACTTAGTACAATTATATTATTGATCACAATCAATGGTTTTGATTTTACACTGATCGGGAATAAATCAATTTTATTTAATATTGGTCAATCAAGTGGTCAGGAATCGCATAATTGTCTGTTCCCGACTGACGCTTAACGAACAAATGTCCAGCTTTTCGGATGAGGATGGGGAGATTCTTTCTTATCAAAATACTTATAAAAATTTTGTTATTTTTGGAGAAATGTAAACATTTTGTTGAAGGTAACAAGAATAGTAACTTTCGAAGTGCATATCTTACAAAATTTTAATATGAAGTTAACAAAATAGTATAATTTAAAAATAAGTTTCATTAAATAAATTCTTCAATTAAATAACTGCTCATAAAAATTACATGTACGAAAAGTACGTGTCAAGGTACGAAAAAGTCTTGTAAGTCTTAAAAGCAGATACGGTTGGAAGAAAATAATTAAAAAAAAATGAAACATTCTTTCTTCATATCATGCAAATTAAAATAATATGTGAAATTATGGACGTAAAACTTGTTGTAAATAACTGCTCATAAAAATTACATGTACGAAAAGTACGTGTCAAGGTGCGAAACGAAGTCTTAAAAGCAGATATGGTTGGAAGAAAATAATTTTAAAAAAATGAAACATTCTTTCTTCATATCATGCAAATTGAAATAATATGTGAAATTATGAACGTACAACTTGTTCGGTACAATTTTTACATAATGTATTTTAAAACTGCTTATTTAGATACTAAACTTTAAAAAAAAATTAACAGAATATTAACTGAAAATTTCATTACATCCAGCTATTTCTTAACCCAGTGATACCGGAAATCCTTTATAACAAAATAACACAAGTGCGTATCAGTGAGCATTAGCAGAAGCAACTGCCATCTTTTCCCAACCACCGCATAAATAACATTAGCAAAACAAAAGCTCTTAATAATAATAACAGCGCATATCTTCTTTGAAGGAGGGGGGGGGGAATCTTCATCTTCTTGAGCCTCTGACCTATACGAAGTGTGATCAAGATTGACAGATAACCCGCCTCCCCGCCAAAGGTGTGTTGCGCGGCTCTGTTATTGAGGAAGAATGGCGGCATCCAAGCCTTGTGATCTAAGTTCGCCGATAAATAGCTGTCAGGAAAAGATGGATGACTAAATTCAATCTCGCGGTGAATTTTTCGCGCCCTTCCCCACTTGCAAGTGGCTGCAGATACACATGCGCTTGTGATAGGTCGATAATGAAAATTAGTTAATCGCCGTTAAGATTGCAAGACGGTTCTTTTTGAGGTTTCTCACCCTCCCCCTCCTCTTGGACGTTTCTGTTTCTGATTGACTCTTTGCATTGCTGTTTCTGATTGACTCTTTGCGCTGGTATTTCACTTCCGGTTAGGACCCTTTTTTACAGCAAAATAAAACAGGGTAATGATCTTTACAGTTCATCACGATTATTTCGCACGATCTTGGCTTTATTTGGCTCGAGAGGGAAAATCAGAAACTGGACTGGAAGATCGTTAATGTGGAATTAGGTCGAGGTCTTCTCAAATTGGATGCCCGATTTTGCCCACAAATAGAGATCTTTTAATCGATTATGATAATTAAACTGATACTTAAGAATTTCAGAGAGCAGTTGGAAAAGAAAATTGCTCTTGCTATCCTTTATATTGCTTATTGCCTTAAATGGTGCTAGCCTTTTTCAGCGTGGTTATGCAGACGAATTTGATAAATTGTTATTGAGTAATTGACCTGATGTGTGATCAAGACTGTGTTTGTTAAACTGGACAAATAAGCAACTTTAAATTGCTGTAGATTCGGTATTAAGTTCTACTAATTTCGAGGGTAACTAACTGATAAGATCTTCTTAAAGAAAACAAAGATTTTGATCATTTTGCGAACAATACATTTTCAATTTAAAAACTTTTTTTTTTGATATAATGAGAAATTACATGACAATGCAGTTTAAAATTATTTAAAGTAAATTTTTAGCATTTAAACGTATTAATTGTTCTTTTTATAATGCTATTCCAACCCAAATTTAATATCACTAGTTTTCTCTTAATTAGTGAAGACATGTTATGAAAATTACTTTCTGATTATCGGCAAACTGTTAATCGGTTTTAATGTTCAAATGAAATTTCTTCCGTCTGCCTTAATTTCAATATTTAAAATTTATAAATGCAAATTTAATAACTAAGTTAAATATGTTTTTTCCTATTAACGCAAATTGATTTTACAGACCATCCATGATTTCGACTTTGTATGATAAATACTCAGCTAATATCCCCTCCCAATAAAGAATAAGAGCAACTATAATTTAGTTTCCTTTATTTACGTTATAGAAATTATTATGTGAATTTATTACAGTACCGAAGGGCATTTTTTATAGAAAATAAGCTTTATTATATTATTATATAAGCATACAAGAATACGAGAAAGTATTTTCCTTATAATTCTAAAATTTCATTGAAATTTTAAAATCCCTTTCACTTTAAAAGCATCCAAATTACGCATGAATTGAGAATCCTGTTTACTAAAATTAACATGTTTACATGAGCCATTTGCCACCTGTGTTATTTTAATTAAAAACATTTAAACTAAACAGAACTACTTTGCAATAAAAATTAGATTATGATTGTCAAGGTAAAGGTATCGGCAATCACCATAAAATTTTCAGAACTGATCAAGTTCGTAAGCAGAACAACAAGGACAAGGTAGGAAATTCCGCAATTATCCGCAACACCCCAAAACAGGGCGTACAAAAGGTATAAACAACAGGGCTATTTAAACACTTTTAAATAGTCTCATATGTATTATAAGCAAAATTGCTTTTCTTTGAAATCGTGCTTGCTGTAGATTCCCCTAAGACTTTAACTGAAGATAGAATGTGAAGAATTGAACTGTTTTGTACTAACGCTAATATTCAATTCATACGCATTTTTATCTTTTTCTAAGAAGTTATTCACGACTTTTTTAAATTGTTTTTGTTGCAGTAAAAATTATTTGTTTGAATTTTGTGAATTGACTTACTGAAAATATTATTTTATCTAATTTCAGTTTAGAACTTCAGCAACTAAACATGTGTGTCTCTTCCAGGGAGACAATGGAGACGCTCATGACAGAACACACTTACTCCAGAACTCCCTTAAGACCATTTTTGGACATTGACCGCGAAGAATTGAACTGTTTACTGCTACGAGAGAAAGCAGAAATGCTTGGACTATCAGCGAGACCTTCTTTTTTCTGGAGGCCTCCTACACCAGGATACCCTTCTGGGGATCATTACCCTCTCTTGGCATCGCAGGCCGCTTGTCTGCCACCCCATCTCTATTCTGTATCCCGCTCTGTACCTCCCCATGTTCTTCAGCAGTGGACAAGCAATCCGTCGTCACTGTCAGGATTTAGCCACTACCATTTATTGATGAACAACATGGCGTCGGGGACTTGTCCTCCCCCCGTTGGTACTGTAAGGCCTTTACCTAGTCATCCTGCGGCCACAGATGGGCCACCTAACCATCGTTATATGCCTTATATCTACGCCAGGAAGGACCAGACTAATGGCAGTGATCCAGAAGCATCATCTCCTAGTTTAAGATGAAAATGGATGTGCTGAAGTCGTTGGTTCCAGACTGCAAATATCCGAATTTTTGGATATAAACTCTAAAAAAATTTGTAAAGACTTATGATCTGACAGTGAGAGATTTTTGTATGGCAATAACTACCTGACACTTGCACTTTTAAGGCGAACTTGTAAAAATAATTGGGTACTCCAAATGGTATAAAAACAAAAAAAAAAAAAAACTGAATTTTAGTGTAACAGGTTTGGCATAGTATACTTCCTACTAAGAAATGAGAATTAGTGTCCCGCATTTCTAATTAGATATTGTCACTTATTTCACGACCATGATCATCATTATTACGCAAAAATGCAAAGTGCGCAGCATTTTGGCGAAGCGGAAATCCAGGAACACAATAATATTTATAACAAAAAATTCTTTTTTTGAGAAATTGTTTTATAGAAGCTATAGGCTACTATGTAATTTTTTAAAATCATATACTTAGAGGGGCTGATAATTTGGATATGTTAGATTGGAAAGTGAAGCTATAAATGAGTTCCATAAAAGTATTAGAGATGTTTCTGTGAACGAAACTATGAGAGCGTTGATTGAAAGGGAGGGCAAGAAAAGAAGCCTTTTTTTTTTTATTTTATTTGTTTTTGAAGTATAACGTTCTGCACAATAAATATGCTCCTAAATAATAAAATGAGCTCTTTTTTTGGCCAATTAATTAATTTTTCCCGTTTATAATTCTTCCGCGTGATTTTCAAACCAAGGAGGAGAAGGTTTCGTGTCGCAATCTTTCGCCCCCCCCCCACCACCAAGTGTGATTAGAGTTATCATCAGAAACTCGTGTTATTGTATACTTCAATGAAATTTTATTGTTGCCATAGTGTCTGCAATAAACTGATGATATAATCATTATAAAAAGCGAAAACTGTAATAAGTTGCAGAAATCATGTTAGTCCGCATCAGACACTTTGGCAAATTTGTAAAAATATCAGCATTTAAAATACTCAGATTCAGGGTCATTTTTTTTACTCAGTCTTTCGCGCTTGATCGAATGAGATCTGGCGTAAATTTACCAAAGATGGATAATTATGATTTGTGTAATGAATAATAAAATGTAATAAAGTTGTAATATATGTAGTAGCGGCAGCTCGACATATTTTGCCGTTATTGTGTTTATAGAAAAAGTTTGTTTTAAATATTGTTTTTTTTTTTTTTTACATAAAACAGCAAAATATTATTGTACTTAAATATTTCTTTAATTCCGAAATACTTGATATATCTAAAATGAATAAATCTATATTATAATATTTAAAAAATATTGTGTTCATCACAATTAATAGAAAAGCATTTAAACTTAAGGTTTTGTTTAATACTTAGGTTTAAACAATGTATTAAAAGTATTATACACACACACACACAAAAAAAAAAAAAAAAAAAACACAACTATGTAAATAATATTCTGTAAGTGTAGATTTTGTATTGTGTGTGCATTATTATAAAAATTTATAAAATGTAGATAATATAAATTTAGTCTTCTGTGTTGTGATTAAGAAATTATTCAAACCTTTCAGAAATTATTTATGCATTTATTCTGAGTGATACGACGGAGTGACTAGGAGTCAGAATGAATGTTCAAAATCTGGTTAATAAATTTGTTACATGTAAAGAGTTCAAGAGCAAATACTCCGAATTAAAAAAAATTTTTTTTCTGATGAAAAATGTGCATTTTATTTGGTCTTACTGATATCTAATATTTACACAACGAATAACAGTTGCTTAAAATCTCTTGTTAGTTAAACTTTTTAATTCCTAATAAAAATGAGACAAAATTTCCTGTAGACAACAAGGTAGCTTATCTGTCTAATAGAAACATCAGGTCCATCGAAAAGTAAAATTATACTTTACTTAGTCGTTTAGTTCGCAATTGATCTCAAGTTAAACTGCATGAGAATTTAGCATTCAGAAGCTATGAAATCTAAAACTTGACGAATTCAGTTCAAATAAATTAAATGCAAGTTCATTAAATTTATGTAATTTCCTTTAGCCCAAAGGGGCTATTTTCCCAGAAAGGTTATTAATTTCGTTTTGGGATTTTACTTCGTTCACTATAAAACGGCGTCTCACTTTTCAAAATGTTGCCACTAAATATTAAAGCCCTGCGGTATATTTAAAGAAATTAATTAATGAAGAGTCTGTATGTTTCCCGCATTGTGGAAAAAAGAATGATACCTACAGACATCAAATTTTGAATAAGTCCTCCACTCGAATATAGGCGACTGGAAATCAATTGGGAATTATTATTTCATATGGTAAAAACTTTAAAGAATTTTATACAACAACGATGCAAAGCGGAATGACAACTGTACCCCCCCCCAAAAAAAAAAATTCTACAGCGCACGAGACTGTATATCGGAATTCTAAAGTGTACGCTTTTAAATTTTGTGATATTGAGGTTGAATTGAATTTTGGTTATGTGAGAAGAATAGATATTTAATAAATAAAAGTACACGCAAAACGTTAAAAAAACACCCCTTTGGGCGTAATAGGAAATCTGAAAGCTTTCATGCTTTTTTACTTTTATATTTCATTTTTTTTTTTTTTTTTTTTTTTCTTTCTGTTTTAGTTCAAAATGGCTATGAGTCCCGAAAAGGGATTTTACATCGAGTCACTATAAATGCGTCACTTCCCTTTTTATTCGCCACTTCACTTCTGATGCCGTTCGGCAAAATGCAAGCTACTTATCTTTCAAATTGAACCTGACTATTCTGGAATAACAGACAAAGCTATATGAAAGCAATAGATGTAGTTTTTGGAACTATTCGTTTCTTACTTTTGAATTAATGATTGATTAATGAATTGATCTAAATGATAAAAATGTACTCAGTTCGTTATCTATTTAATTAAAAATATTCATTATTTTCATAGAATGACGTTATATATATTTATATTATTTATTTCATATTTTGTAAAATTTAATGAATTTTTGATTTAGAAACTCGATGATTTGAGAGCAAGCAGTAGCAACACTGTACGGAATAAAACATTTTTATTTCCAGCGTGTGAGACAGTCTATCGAAAATTTTAAAGATGCACTGTTTTTAAATATTTTGTGATTTTGCTGTTGAATTGAATTTTATGTGGCTTAAGTGCGAAGGAAAATATTTAATAAATAAAGTTAACACATAAAACGTTAATAATAAAAAAAAACAAAAAAAAGTTTGTAAACCATCTTTATAAAAAACTGAACACGCTATAATGAACTGAGAAAAGACTGACATATGTATATGTCAACAATTAATATTCAGCCGGAAATTCTAAATATATGTTGCTATGCTGCTTTGGAAATTTTCGTAATTTTGCTGCTGAACTGTGCATGGCGAAAATACGAAGAAAACGATGTTTAATAATAAAGTTTTTTAAAAAAAATGAGTATAATACCAAACTGCTGGACTGCGAGAGCGTAAAAAACCTTAACAAAGCATTTCGGGCGACCGTTAGAATTTAAAACCTTCCAGATACCCCCCCCCCGTAATCTTATTCGTAGAGGAATAATCTTAGGATTTACAAGTTATGATTAATTTATTTTACATTTCTAAACTTATCATTTTACATTATTGAAATGAACCTAGTGAAATTAAATACATAATTTAATTCAACATTTTACTGAACTTTCCTTTTAATGCTAGTTTAACAATGCATTCATTGTTTTAAACTTATTAAGCAAATGAAAATAATAACCAATTAACCCTAATAACATTCTCTAAAGCTACTTAAGTTTAAATTATTATGATGGAAGGTAATAAGTAGTCATAGTAAAATGAATTATTCCAGTTTTAATTTAAGTTTGATTTAATTGTTAATTACAGAGCCCTCTTTCAAGTACAATTTAATTAAAAATTCAAATAACTACTTAATTACATGAAGATGACTTTAAACATTAAATCTCTTCTCTAAGCAAACATGCTCAAAACAAGATTTGAATAAATAACCGTAAGGGGCTACAACAGATATCTTTTGTAGTAACCTTTCTCCTGACGTTTAATTGACACGATAATTAGTTGTAGGACTATTAATAAAAGATTTCTTGACTCGCTAGAATTCTTCTGTATATCTAGTTATTAAATTACGCGTTATCAGTTATCAATTAATCATTAATATTTAATTAAATGGACAAAAATACGCTGATATAACATGTTGAGTTCTTTTAATACATTAATTAATTGCAACCAAGAAATTAAATGCGCATTTAAGTTTTATTAGATTTAGTTTATGGGATCTAAGGTTTTATTAGATCATCAAATTTGATGTATATTTTGTTTCAAGTCGTGAAAATCTCGAATTTTTACCTGAAGTTTCTTTATACTGTTACGAAATGTAAAGACGAGGTGAGGTGGCTTCCCCGCAAAGCAGTTTTATGATTGCCATAAAATGCCAAAGGAAGGCAGGATTACCACATTTGGCAACAAAATTGGCGTATGTCATGGACGGATGGAGAACCTTCTGAAACGAATTCTTACGGGTTTAGCCCAGAATGTTCTCGAACACAAGCCGAAAGCTATATAAACCCTGCTGGTCCGCAGTCAGTCAGTGTGCGTGTGTCTCTCATCGAGTGTGTGTCTCGTCTAGCGAGTGAGTCCCTACGGAGTGGATCGAGTTGACAGCCGGGCAGCGAGTGCCGACTGGGTCGTCGAATGCAACGCAAGATTCTCGTAGTATATCGCGGTTAATGCATCGTCGAGAGAGCGTGTTGAGCTCCGGGAACAACTGTACCGAAGAGTTGGGAGCTGTGATGGTGTGTCGTCGAGTGCATCGCGAGTTGTAGCGTGGAGAGTCTCGAGAGTACGTGAAGTTCCGAGAACGATCGAGCAGAGTCGGGAGCTTTGCTGTCTTCACCGTTATTGCCTGACAGTGTAAAGGCTGTGTCGCTGATTGTTCCAGCGTGTTTATAGTAGATCTTCGACGACTGTAAAAAGTGTTATTGGAATTGTCCTGATTAATATTGGCTAATAAAAGTGTGTTTCGATACTTCATCAAGTAGTGCCGTCATTATTCACTCCAAATCCATACGAGCCCCGTACAAACGTGAAGGAAAAGGAAAAAAAAAAAAAAAAAAAAAAAAACGTAACAATACATACTCGGGCTAAAAAAGTGTCTGTAGAATTTTGACTGTATTTCTAGGCCACTAGGATAATAGATCTCC